TTCGGGGACAGGAAAACTAGCCCTCTCAGCGGAGTGTGAAGCCCGATCGCGACAAGTGACCCTTACCCCGTTCACCGAAANCAATGGCTCAGACGTATTGGACCCAAATCGAGGAATCCAACATGTGGGTTTTCTCCGTCGCGACGGAGGGCGAACTGAGAGTGAATTGCTCGCGACAGGAACCTGCTACCATTAGCATTTCGGGGACAGGAAAACTAGCCCTCTCAGCGGAGTGTGAAGCCCGATCGCGACAAGTGACCCTTACCCCGTTCACCGAAATAACATCCGAGGTTGAGATCAAATTCGCGAACAAGTCTATGATAAACATCGCAGCCTTGATAAATGAAACCGTGCGCGGACTCGGGGAGGGCAATCCATCAGAAATTCTCGATGACGTTACTTTCTCTCCAACCGTACAGACTGGACCGAATGACGAAGGTAGTATGGGAAAAGACAGTGTAGGGCTACAGGTCATTATTAACAAAGAATGACAAAGAATTGCCGACAGACGGGTAACTAGGATAGAGAATGGACTAGGACTAGCGGGAATCGCCTTAGGTACGTTGGGCATAATTGCTGGGGTCGTATGGAAATTCTCACTGTGGTCAAAGATCGATACGTTGTGTGGGAGAATTAAGACATGTTCAGGTACCAAGAACAGACGAAAGACCCCTCGCAGACAGGCAACCAGGACCCCTTCACCAGAAAGGGCAACACCAAGGTATTCGGAGCATCGAGCAACGCGAGAGGTGCACATCCCAATGAGGACTCTGATCAGGGAGACAAGGCCCGTCTCCACCGCTACTATCACCGAGATCGTGGAGCCAGAGAGACCTCTGGGAGCAGTCGATCGCACCTACTCCATCGATACCTTGGCCTCGACGGGAGATTTAAGAGCATTGGTTCCTCGCCAAGTGGTGCGTCTCCAACCTCCCCAACAACGCCCTGTGCCCATAGCTGCTATGCCCCAGGGTTGGCAGATGGTCGAACCATATTGGGGGGAGCAAATGACAGATCCCCGATACTCAGCACAGAGAGACTTGGGAGGCTGGTAGGCCACACGATCACGACAAGTGACCCTTACCCCGTTCACCGAAATAACATGCGAGGTTGAGATCAAATTCGCGAACAAGGCTATGATAAACATCGCAGCCTTGATAAATGAAACCATGCGCGGACTCGGGGAGGGCAATCTATCAGAAATTCTCGATGACGTTACTCTCTCTCCAACCGTACAGACTGGACCGAATGACGAAGGTAGTATGGGAAAAGACAGTGTAGGGCTATAGGTCATTATGAACAAAGAATGACAAAGAATTGCCGACAGACGGGTAACTAGGATAGAGAATGGACTAGGACTAGCGGGAATCGCCTTAGGTACGTTGGGCATAATTGCTGGGGTCGTATGGAAATTCTCACTGTGGTCAAAGATCGATACGTTGTGTGGGAGAATTAAGACATGTTCAGGTACCAAGAACAGACGAAAGACCCCTCGCAGACAGGCAACCAGGACCCCTTCACCAGAAAGGGCAACACCAAGGTATTCGGAGCATCGAGCAACGCGAGAGGTGCACATCCCAATGAGGACTCTGATCAGGGAGACAAGGCCCGTCTCCACCGCTACTATCACCGAGATCGTGGAGCCAGAGAGACCTCTGGGAGCAGTCGATCGCACCTACTCCATCGATACCTTGGCCTCGACGGGAGATTTAAGAGCATTGGTTCCTCGCCAAGTGGTGCGTCTCCAACCTCCCCAACAACGCCCTGTGCCCATAGCTGCTATGCCCCAGGGTTGGCAGATGGTCGAACCATATTGGGGGGAGCAAATGACAGATCCCCGATACTCAGCACAGAGAGACTTGGGAGGCTGGTAGGCCACACGATCACGACAAGTGACCCTTACCCCGTTCACCGAAATAACATGCGAGGTTGAGATCAAATTCGCGAACAAGGCTATGATAAACATCGCAGCCTTGATAAATGAAACCATGCGCGGACTCGGGGAGGGCAATCTATCAGAAATTCTCGATGACGTTACTTTCTCTCCAACCGTACAGACTGGACCGAATGACGAAGGTAGTATGGGAAAAGACAGTGTAGGGCTACAGGTCATTATTAACAAAGAATGACAAAGAATTGCCGACAGACGGGTAACTAGGATAGAGAATGGACTAGGACTAGCGGGAATCGCCTTAGGTACGTTGGGCATAATTGCTGGGGTCGTATGGAAATTCTCACTGTGGTCAAAGATCGATACGTTGTGTGGGAGAATTAAGACATGTTCAGGTACCAAGAACAGACGAAAGACCCCTCGCAGACAGGCAACCAGGACCCCTTCACCAGAAAGGGCAACACCAAGGCATTCGGAGCATCGAGCAACGCGAGAGGTGCACATCCCAATGAGGACTCTGATCAGGGAGACAAGGCCCGTCTCCACCGCTACTATCACCGAGATCGTGGAGCCAGAGAGACCTCTGGGAGCAGTCGATCGCACCTACTCCATCGATACCTTGGCCTCGACGGGAGATTTAAGAGCATTGGTTCCTCGCCAAGTGGTGCGTCTCCAACCTCCCCAACAACGCCCTGTGCCCATAGCTGCTATGCCCCAGGGTTGGCAGATGGTCGAACCATATTGGGGGGAGCAAATGACAGATCCCCGATACTCAGCACAGAGAGACTTGGGAGGCTGGTAGGCCACACGATCACGACAAGTGACCCTTACCCCGTTCACCGAAATAACATGCGAGGTTGAGATCAAATTCGCGAACAAGGCTATGATAAACATCGCAGCCTTGATAAATGAAACCATGCGCGGACTCGGGGAGGGCAATCTATCAGAAATTCTCGATGACGTTACTCTCTCTCCAACCGTACAGACTGGACCGAATGACGAAGGTAGTATGGGAAAAGACAGTGTAGGGCTATAGGTCATTATGAACAAAGAATGACAAAGAATTGCCGACAGACGGGTAACTAGGATAGAGAATGGACTAGGACTAGCGGGAATCGCCTTAGGTACGTTGGGCATAATTGCTGGGGTCGTATGGAAATTCTCACTGTGGTCAAAGATCGATACGTTGTGTGGGAGAATTAAGACATGTTCAGGTACCAAGAACAGACGAAAGACCCCTCGCAGACAGGCAACCAGGACCCCTTCACCAGAAAGGGCAACACCAAGGCATTCGGAGCATCGAGCAACGCGAGAGGTGCACATCCCAATGAGGACTCTGATCAGGGAGACAAGGCCCGTCTCCACCGCTACTATCACCGAGATCGTGGAGCCAGAGAGACCTCTGGGAGCAGTCGATCGCACCTACTCCGTCGATACCTTGGCCTCGACGGGAGATTTAAGAGCATTGGTTCCTCGCCAAGTGGTGCGTCTCCAACCTCCCCAACAACGCCATGTGCCCATAGCTACTATGCCCCAGGGTTGGCAGATGGTCGAACCATATTGGGGGGGAGCAAATGACAGATCCCCGATACTCAGCACAGAGAGACTTGGGAGGCTGGTAGGCCACACGACCCAGGCCCAGAGAAACACCAAGACCAAGACTAGGAATGCAAAAATTTTCAATTATGCTATGTATCGAGTCATGAGCCCGCTTAAAAATGATTCTATATTATAAGCGAGAATTAAATTTGTAAGGGTTCGGTCGATAGGGTTAGGATTAGATTACAACATGAAATAATTAAGTCAGTGCAACTACTTGCATCTACCTATTGCTCATAAAGCAGGGATTTTTAGCCCTTATGGTCGGGAATTGATAGCCCTTCAGGCATAAGAAGGGCCATCAGGCGAAGACTTGAAGGAATTCTTAATATTTTTAATTACTATTGTATTAGAGATAACAATAGTTTTAGTAAGGGAGTGTGACGTATTGAGATTGATCAATACGTCGATTTAGAAAATAATTATATAATATAATAGTATAATGCTGGATGGTGGGAACGAGAAATAGGATTTCTCTTTCCTGTCATCCAGACACTGGTCAGCAATCCCACGGTGTCATTTGGACACCGTGGTAAGCAGTCCCACGGTTTTTTAGGAGTCCAGTTCAGAACGATAAACTGTTTGACTGTCAGAGTCTCTGTCAGTGATGACACGAGACAGTGTTAGTGAAGAAAACCGTGAGACTGCTTAGTTCAGCAAACTGGGGGCTTTGCCAAGTTTTGAGGACTCCTTTAGAGTCAGAGTACGATCAGGAGCAGAGTCGAGCGGACCTCTAGCTCAGGCGTTCAGCCAACAAATCGAGTCGAAGTCCCTAGTCGAGCCGTAATAACGCGTTATACCAACCCATAATAAACCGAGTCGCGTATTTGAACCAAACAACAAATAATATACCATCCTTTTACCGACTAAATACGCGAGTGTTTATTTAGAACTTTACAAGTAATATCCCCGATACCTGTCCTAACATCCCTACGAATGAGCGAATCCCCCATGGGCTCACCGTGGAAGTTAGCTGAGGATTAAGTGACCATACCAAAGGATTACAGTGCAGGCATACGTGAAAAGGTGTAGTGTAAAAGAGATTCCACGCACTGACGGTGATAGTCGAAGGAAAAAGGACACTACCGTTCACATAAGTTTTACCTCCGGGTAAAACTCTTAACGTCACAGCTACCAGAATGATTTTTGAAAAATAAGAAGAGCCAATTAAAAATATAATTCAGCAATAAAAAATGAAACAAACAATTTTTTCTTGAAATCTAAGATGTTTTTGATTTTTTAGAATTTTCACAGATTTTGAGTCAACTTTTAAGTAAGCAAAAAAATAAGATGGAAAAAAACTGTTTTTTAAAGATTAAAATTCTGGAAATTAATATAATGATCTGAAAATTTGCAGAGAATTGTCTTTTTCAGTGATGAATATGTGAAAAAATTACCGCATAAAAATTTGCCGGGGGCAGATTCACCATACTTAATAGGCTAGACCATTTCAATCTCCGTCGGATAGGCTCGAATCTCTGCTTGTTATGTTCAAAATACTCCATACACGTCATTTTTTATGTGGATCGAATATGACATATTGATTTGCTCTCTTACTTGGTGTAATAATTGTTCCCCAAACCATTGGTTCCATGAACTCCGTTACAATCTGTGGATTAGGAAAATGTGCAGGATTGTTGAAAGTGATCTCTTCAGTCCCATGATCCTTGATATTCTGTTTTCCACAAATTTTCGCTTTATACGTTACACTGGGGGCAGTAATAATTGGAGCTGTTCCGTACTCCTGCTCCAGTCTTTGACAGAATACTTCCATGTGAAGTAATCCCAAAAATCCTAGCCTCCAGCCCAACCCCAAAGCAGGGCTGAAATGAAAATCAAATAAGTTTCAATAAATATGAGTTAGCGTGTGACTGGGAGGGATTTGTTGAAGTGGGTGTTATCCAAGCTCAAAAAACAAAAACAAATATTTTTGGAAAAAAATCCGCGCCAAGAAAAACTTTTCTTGATCCTAAATAGGAAATATAAATTTTTGAAAATTGCAAAGCATTGAAACAGAAAGCCAAGTCAAGACGTCGAATGAATAGTCATAGTGCACAATCAGATTTCTATGAAAAAAATTGTGTGACGGCGATTTCCAAATGGACCAAACAGAATCCAAAGTCCTTCATCCGCTACGAAAATCCTTGAACGAACACAGCCGAAGTTTCTCGCCTTCGACCTCTTTCGCTCCAATCTCCCTAAAATCCTCCAAAACTGGAACGATAAAAATGCTAGCTACTTTTGTGAGAAACTGGCGTTGGGCGCCAGCCGATTTTTAGCAACGCGGATTCAACAAAACCACAACCGTAAATGTAAGAGAACAAAAGGAGAGAAGTAGAAACATAACTGGAAGTTGGGAAAATCAGAGGAGACGGTGCAGAATTCTGCCTAGCTTGCTCGAGAAAAAAATCAGAGAGCGGTGTGGCTTCGATCGCTCGGTCTTAGGGAAGGGGTCGCAAATGTAACGAAACAACGAGAAATCCAATCAGCAAGAATCGAATCCAAAATTCTCTTAATTCTCTAGGAACTCGGGAAGTTCAAAAATAAAGAAAATTTTGATTAAACCGAAAAATATCTCGCATTAACTATCCACGTGACCCAAATACAATTTCAAAATTTCTGATTTTCGTGTAACAAAAGTTAATTATCAAGAGTAAGAGTAGTTGAGTAATTCTAAGAGAGAGATTTGCGCAGAGGGGAAAATGTAAGCGGGTCTGGGAGGGTCTTTGCTTATGATCACTCAGCGCTATCCAGAAACTGGAGTGCAGGAGGATCCATAGACCTGGTAAATTCCTTCGTGACGAAAACCCATCGAATTGTGACGATTAAATGAAAATAGAAATGATAAGAAACCCCGGGGAAGCAAAATGTCACTCAAAAGGTGCCATCGTGCCTCCAGTTTCGAGTTTCTTCTCCATCATGAGATCGTGGTGTCACATGACGTTGAAGCAGCTCACGAGCGTCAATTTTCGGTTTTCAGGAGACCCGTGACGACGAGAAACCCTAAATTAATTTAATAATTTAATTATGAACTTTACTGAGCTACAAAAGTACTCCATTGAGGCTTCAATTCGCTCGGATAAAGAATTATCCCCACGACATGCAGCGTAAAACAGCTACGTTCATAATTCATGGAGAGCGTGCATGCACTTATTTTCATGCATTCTTCCCATCTTACTTCCTCAATCTAGCCTCAAATAATCCAGAAACTCTCTGATACCAATTGGGAACTAATTAAGCACACGAACGGTGTGTCAATTGTTCTCCAAAGTCTCTCAAGATCAGAGAGGGTGTCAACGGCGTCAATCCGTGCGACTGAACCATATGCAACTGCCTCCCGTGGATTTTGTCGGTAATTTTCCACTGAAACAGGACCTCACTGGGATGTTGTACCTCAGGGGGACTGTTGAGAATCTTGACGAAGATTTTATGCACTCAATGGTGCATTTATTCACTTACCAGCGTGGTTGTGGGCGAAGGGGAATGCATCGCCACTTCACTCGTTTACGAGGGCCTGGGCAATTTCACTGAGGTTTTCACTGGGCCACACTAATGAAACGTGCACTTCTCTCCTGAGGGGAGAGCGGATATTCTTGAGGTTCTCTGTAGACGATGTCCACTTCACCTTGGGGTTGGTGTGGTTTCCTTCACACAGAACCTTCACCTATCCCCACGCCATTGCCATGCTACAAGACGCCATCGAGAACCTACTTCTCTCCGACGAAGATGCACCATTGCTTCTGGGAGGTAACTGGAACGCGTGGGTTGCACATGTACCCGAAGGTGATGACTCCATCTTTGAAGGTATGAATATTCTGAATGGTAGAATCTTCAGCGACACCCTTACCAACTACACATTCTCCGGAAGAGACGACACAATTTGGTGCTCTCCGATGGACCTCGAAATGATCCGGGGCCTCAAGAGTACATTACTTGGCCCGCCATCTGCCTCTTGATGTGTTCGCCAGGCCTAATGAGGATGTTATGAGAAGCCTGCTCGCCTCCAGCGACCCGAGATGCTTCAAGGACATCTGGTACTTCGTTCTTTAGAGCTTTTTTTTCAGAGATCAAAATGCGCTGCCTTGATCATTCTTATAAAAACTTACCAAAAGGATATCGTAAAAGAGTGCTGATATTTATTATTACTAGTTTCAGTTCCCTTTTGGAAGGCCAGGGACATTTATCTCCGATTTAAATTCTTGACATTAACGACTTTTATCACCAACCAAAAAAGACTTCTGTTCTTTGTTCACTACCGTTGAGAGCCGCCACTAGCGATGCCGCGAGAGACTTTCCGAGACATCACGAGACAATACTTTGAAAGGATTGTCTCGGTCTCAGTGGACATGAAAATTCTTGGTCTCGTCTCAGTCTCGAAATACGCAGTATTGGCTCCTTTCGTGATGACTCTAAGTCAATTTATCTCATCTCGGTTTCTAGTTTTTCACAGTTTTCATATGTAGAAAATCGAGACGAGACAAACCGAGATAAAAACCGAGATTTTACATTAAAAAACACGAAAAACTTGAGACCGAGATGAGATAAATTGACTCAGAGTCATCACGAGAGGAGTCGATAACGCATATTTCGAGATTGAGATAAGCCCCAAGATTTCCATGTTCATTGAGACCGAGACCATCTCTCCGAAGTATTGTCTCGTAAAGTCTCTCGCGGCATCACTAGCTACCACCAGCAATTAGTTTGTTTTTTTCAAAATATTTTTTATGATGCATTACTTTATCTTGATTTTACTTTTTCGGTCAATACTGCAACCAACTATATGTAACCCCCATGCTATTGCAGCGACTTAGGTCTCCAGAGAAGCATTAATAATGAATAAATTAATGAATAAATTTTGTATGGATGAATGAGTGAAGTTAATTTGAGGTAAGAGATGTTTTTTTTATTTACATCGGAGCAACACGATGACATGAATTTATATGTAAGGAATGAAATTATTCTCTCCTTATCAGTCATTAAATTTTGACCATAATGATTTAGTCAAAATATGTGGTAAACGAGAGACTTATTTATATTATGCTAATATGTTCTTGAGTGATTTCTCATAAATAAAAGAGTCGACCGTCAATTATTTTACAATTTTATTTAATTTGACCACAGTGTTATTAGATGAATTTAATTGGCAAGTTAGATATGTTTGAAAAATAGTCATATTTACTGTGGTATTAAGGAAAATTGTGTTAAAGAATGCTTGAAGTTTAAAATTCTATTTCTGTTGTCTATATATCCCTTTATTATGTTGAATAATGGGTCTAGACCTGAAGTATAAACTGTTATGGTTCAACCTCAAATTAGTGTGATACGTGGGACATTTGATTTCCTCCTGTACACTGAGAAAAAAAATTATTTCTGCCAAATATTCGTTTACTTGAGAGAAGCACTTATTTTTTTAAAATCGTATTTCTCCTATTGAGTCATTCCCGGGCGAGTCTGATTAGGATTCAATTATGGCAATCATGTTGCTCTAGAGGATGACTATGTTGCATTTAACCATGGATGAACTCCTCGAATGATTATTCATTTTTCCTAAATTTCTTATTTTCTAGAGGGAAGAATTTCGATTAATTTTTTAATGTTGATAATTATTGAGGGAGTGCACTCAAGGTCATAATTAACATGCTCATCTTCTGGAGCAATATAATTGTCATAATTGACACCTGAAGAGGATTGCCTGAGAATGACTCGGCTGGAGAAATCCGGCATTGAAAAATAAAATACTTCTCTCAAGGAAATGGATATTTGGCTAAAATATTTTTTTTCTCAGTGTATTACATTGTTATCTATCAAAACTCTAATAAGTGTGTTATTGTCTTGACAGATCTCGATGTATTCGTGGAGTTTCATAGTTTGTTTTTTTACGTAATTTGATGAATTTCACTATTTAATATGGTTGAAAATGATGTGTAAATATTACTTGTATTCTTAGGTATAGTGGCAATAATACGTGTATGCATATACAGTTGAGCAGAATACATAGGCTGCAAGTTGAGGCTGTTCACGAACTTCAGTGTTCGACTGTACACTATACCCAAGAACGCAAATAATATTGAAACATCATTTTCAACCAAATTAAATAGTGAAATTCATCCAATTAAGTGAAAAATGAAAATTAATTGATTTAATTCACTTAATCAAGCAGTGAGGATAGGCAGTTGTTCGCTCCTTCATCACAAGAATGCACTGTTCATCTTAATGAGTGCACCTTTCGTCACTGTCGTTCTCCCGCGAGTTATTGCGGGATCACCTTTACCAAAGCCGTAAAATCTGTAAGTAGTCCATGGCGACCCATATGGACGAGTGGACTATGTTCTTCCACATGGCCTTCCATGCGCACTAATGCCTCCAATGACCCCACGAAACGCCAACTGAAGATGGACTGATCAGCAGGAGAAAAGCCAGATTGGTGGCCAAAGGATATAGTCAACGCCCTGGAGTCGACTATCATGAGACATACGCGCCAGTAGCTCGGTTGGAGACGTTGAGACTTATGTTGGCACTCTCCGTTGAATTAAATCTCAAAATATGGCAGTACGATATCGTTACGGCCTACCTAAATGGGTTTATCGATGAGGAGATTTATATGGAGTTGCCTCAAATGCTAGTCGATTCACTGGAGCAGTTAGTCGAACGTGAGGGTCCCAAAAGTTCGATCAACCACAAGGTCAGGAGCATGCTGACAGATATAAATCGGGGAGGAGACTGCTGTCTACTCCAGAAGGCCCTGTATGGCCTGAAACAAGCCGGGAGGCAGTGGAACAAGAGGATTAGTGAGAAATTGTTGTCAATGGGTCTGCAACAAGCC